ACCTTCTTCATGAAATAATTTTTTCTTCAGTTGACAAGCCAAAGCTCCTTAGTCAGGTAAAGACTTAGGAGTATCGGTCCTTTTGCTATGGATTTTATGTTTGGACTTCCATATCTTCCATTGTCATACTACTTGTATCAACTTTTATAAAATTCCGAGTTATTGTCTTGTAGCTATCTACGTTGCTGTGCGATCTTGGATTGCACATTCGTGAAGCTCATGTGTTCTCAACAACAGATGGACTGTGTTTGGGCATATTTGTTGTTGATGGCTGGGAAACAGAGGTAAGCTTAGAGCACATCTATACCTGTGCAACATGTTAACGATAATTCAAAAGTAGACGTATTTGTGCAGTTCCGATTACTTATGATAGCATTATTATGGTTAATTGCATCAGCTTTACATAATGGGAGTACCTAGAACTCATCTAGATGAGACATAATTTGGTCTCATTCACCTGGAAAATAAGAACAGATACAACCTACGTCAGCACACACGCATCTTATAGCATCACATCCAACGGCTATAAAATGTGAATGAGACTAAATTATATCTCATCTAGATGAGTTCTAGCAAAACTGTTACATCATATCATTTTTGCGGTGTCAGAGCCAATGAGATCACACTCTACGTGACAAACGGTCATACGTGCAGTCAATTCGTTTATACTGCTAGTTTGTTTGATGACACATCTCTGGAACTGCACAACCTATCTTTGGACTTCTGATTCTTACAGGAGAAGATCCTTTTCGATAAAGGGCGAATTTTATTAGCTCAAAATAAAGCATCAAGAGAATACAAACACAATGAGCATACACCCGGCCTCTGCATAATTAAGATGCACACAGCCAACACCAACGCACACAAGCACACCAACAACTAGCAAAGTATATAATACCAAAGCTATGTGTCGGCGAGAAAAAAAGAAAAAGCCCCAAAGTGATCGGATCCGCGATTGACATAGTAATGATCATATCCGCACCAACCATCTCATGACACACACATGAACAACCATCTCATGACACACACATGAACTACTCGATCTCATGTCATATTTGTCTTCCTGATATAATCTTGCTTGCTGAGACAAGGTTTGTATACGTTGAACAGCAACAGCGAATTGGAGCGGATGATGGAAGACCTCAGTTTGGGGCCAAGAGAAGGCGTGGACGAGGCCATTTCTGCAAGGTCTTTCTCGATCAGTTTAAATGCTTGGTTGCCCACTGTCGCCCTAAAATATAATCATGCTTTCATTCTGATTTGTAAATCATCCTGGATGGTTTGCCCAAAAGATGCAGTGCTAACTTTTCTGTTAGCTAGCCTGCGTTGCAGTTGCAGCTCATTTTTTATGCAAAAAACAACCATGCATGTGGCCCCGTGGTTCTACTTCTCTTAACTTGACAGAAAGGTTCTAGTTCTAGCATAGCATGTTTTCATTTGCAATCTGGAATGATATATTGAACCATAAGACTATAAGAGAGTGATGGTGGGCAAGCTATCTATCTTCGTGCAGTTTTTGGCATGGACGACTTCCTAATTATTTGGTCTGTCTTTAATTTCTCAACGCTTTTGTGCTTACTTCTCTGTAATACTACTAGTATTCCATACAGTAGTAGTTTGGCAAGTGGCGTATTTTGGGCTACCTTTTTCATAAACCTGCCTGAACAATGAACTTTGATCCTCAGTTGCCAATGAAAATTTCCGCAGGAGGGATACAGAAATTCACCTTCTTCATGAAATAATTTTTTCTTCAGTTGACAAGCCAAAGCTCCTTAGTCAGGTAAAGACTTAGGAGTATCGGTCCTTTTGCTATGGATTTTATGTTTGGACTTCCATATCTTCCATTGTCATACTACTTGTATCAACTTTTATAAAATTCCGAGTTATTGTCTTGTAGCTATCTACGTTGCTGTGCGATCTTGGATTGCACATTCGTGAAGCTCATGTGTTCTCAACAACAGATGGACTGTGTTTGGGCATATTTGTTGTTGATGGCTGGGAAACAGAGGTAAGCTTAGAGCACATCTATACCTGTGCAACATGTTAACGATAATTCAAAAGTAGACGTATTTGTGCAGTTCCGATTACTTATGATAGCATTATTATGGTTAATTGCATCAGCTTTACATAATGGGAGTACCTAGAACTCATCTAGATGAGACATAATTTGGTCTCATTCACCTGGAAAATAAGAACAGATACAACCTACGTCAGCACACACGCATCTTATAGCATCACATCCAACGGCTATAAAATGTGAATGAGACTAAATTATATCTCATCTAGATGAGTTCTAGCAAAACTGTTACATCATATCATTTTTGCGGTGTCAGAGCCAATGAGATCACACTCTACGTGACAAACGGTCATACGTGCAGTCAATTCGTTTATACTGCTAGTTTGTTTGATGACACATCTCTGGAACTGCACAACCTATCTTTGGACTTCTGATTCTTACAGGAGAAGATCCTTTTCGATAAAGGGCGAATTTTATTAGCTCAAAATAAAGCATCAAGAGAATACAAACACAATGAGCATACACCCGGCCTCTGCATAATTAAGATGCACACAGCCAACACCAACGCACACAAGCACACCAACAACTAGCAAAGTATATAATACCAAAGCTATGTGTCGGCGAGAAAAAAAGAAAAAGCCCCAAAGTGATCGGATCCGCGATTGACATAGTAATGATCATATCCGCACCAACCATCTCATGACACACACATGAACAACAATTTTTTCAACAGCAACGCCTCTAGGAAGGAAGCGACCCTCATGGGCCGCCGTCACCGGATCCAACTATTAAGGTCGGAATCTAGGTTTTCACCCTGAAAAACCAACCCGAGCATATCCGAGCAATGCCTTTAAGAAGGTAATGACGTAAAAAACATCACCATTGCCAGGTATAACCAACTCACGTCAGACCTATGTTTTCACCTCGGAGCTCGAGTCGGATGCACACAGCACCACCATCCAAGTCACACATGTGTCGTCACCCCCACTTTTCCACGATCCTAGCAGGTACATGCGATGTCCAACCGCCGCTGCTGTACAACCATTCCTTCGCGTCAAGTCTTCGTCCAAAGTTTGCATCTCACCGATCCTGGAAGACACATAACTGCTGTATACATAAAAGTGCCATTTGGCAAAAAAATAACAGTTTATATGTGTTTCCTCTAGTTATTGTCAATGATACCGAGCAGTCATAGAATCTAGAGCTGTATTTTGATATCTGCCCATGAATTTGGGGTGCATGCTAGGTAAGACGAAGAAACCGAGTTCATTTGACCCTGTACACTTAGCAATTTGGTTGCCAATGTGTTCTGTAGATTCTTATGAGTAGTGTAGCATCTGCAGGTTATATTGCACATTGTTCCTCCCAAAGATCTTTTTTTAGTAAAATTTTACCTGACGCTATATGCAGGAGACAGATGGTTTGTTGCAGCAGCTCAAGGAGACAGCAAAACGTAATGTATGCTTTCTCTTCTTTTTTAGTTACATTACTTACGTGAATACTTCAAATTCTTAGGTATCTGCCTAGTCACTTATACATAGGTGCTGGTAATTCAACTTTTCTAAGTATGCAGATGCAGTTGCTGGCTGTAAATGCATGCAGTCAGCATTGTCCTAACAACTTTAAATTCCTTCTGGTATGCAGGCCACATTATCTAATCTAACAACTTCAGCCTCAGAGAGAATACTAGAGCTGCAAGAAAAGATTGGAGATTCTGAATTCGACAGGGATCTGTTGCAGATTAAGGAAAATATCGCATCTGGATCTTCTGGAGACTTGTAAGAACTACATGGCACTTGCTTAGTAAATAGAGGAAAGAGTACCATGAAGTTAATTTTTTGAAAAACATCAACCACTTTATTAATTAGAAATAATGGTTACATCGTCTATAAGTAGAGATACAATATTTCCCGTAGGCTCCTCAATCCAATCCCTCGTCATAGAACATTTTGCTAGTCGAGCCAACTCATGCGCTACCTTGTTCGCTTCCCTATTACAATGTTCAAAACTAGTAAGAGGAAAATCATAAGCTATAAGAAAACAGTCATAAAAAATTGCCGCTGCCGCTCCTGCAGAGTGTCCTCCGTTCTTCATTGTGTCAATGACTTCCATATTGTCGGAGTTAATAACAAGACGATTGCAACCCGCCTTCTGTGCTAGCGATAAGCCAAACCTAAGTGCTAATGCTTCCACTGTCAGGACATCAGCGCACCAATCAATCTTTCAATTTCCACCTACAATGAAGTTTCCTTTGTCATCCCTGAGGATAGCCCCCGCTGTGCCCTTTAGTAGATCATGATCGAAGGCAACATCCACATTCAATTTAACAAAGCCCATAGGAGGTCTACTCCACCCTCCAATCTTCCTATTTGCATTAGGGGAATGTGCATTTACAAAATTTGCCGTTATAGCACGAATTCCCATCGAGGCGGTTTGACATACCTCTTGAAACTTTCCCTCATGAACCAGTTTACATCTGTTCCAACATAAATACCACGCGGTTACAGCAATCAGCTCCCGTGCGTTCTGTGAATCCGATACAGAAAATTCTTGTTCTGGCATGAGGAGTAATGATTCGAGGACAGCCTCCCCTGCACGATCAACAGCACAAGCTTTTTTAACATGAAGTTAATTAGTTAGAACGACAGCCACCACTTAACTGGTACTCTGCTACTGTGGGCTGCATGCCCTTTTCTTGCATATTTACAGATGAAATAGGTTCACAAGGGGACACTGCATGCCAAGAAACATAGTGAAAGCATCTGTATTATGATTTGTGGAAACTATGAGTAGCCTAACCAGTACTCTTTTTTTTTCATTTTTCAGATATCGAGGAACTTACCTTGATGTGGATGTTGCAATAAAGTACCTTAAAACTGGACATGCTAACGATGATTCAAAAGTGGAGTTTTTGCAACAAATAATGATTTTAAGGTATGTTTTTTATTTCTGTTACACATAAACAACTTAGTTCCAGAAGATGCTAACACAATATAATCATGTACAGGAGTGTTAATCATGAAAATGTCATTCACTTTTACGGGGCATGCACAAAGCATCGAGACTATCTCATTGTAACAGGTCAGACACTAATATTGCTTGTTGTAGTATGGATATATAGCAATCAACATCTTTGTTGCAGACTCACATGAAAATACTGTTATCCATGGGCACAGTTACACTATGAATAACACTGGTGACTAAAAATTGGAAGTTGTGCTTAAATAGCTATTGATTTAGAAATAAGAAAAAAAAAGCTGAGCTCGAAAGACGGGGGATAACTCCCGTCTTCTACGCATTTTGGTAGGGACTTGAAGAGCAGATAAGTCAGACAAGAATATCTACACCATGCTGGAACATAGTACAAGTCAGACAAGAATGCAAGATATGTCTGATTAGAGGAATCCTGTTGCTCTGTTTCTATCAGATCGACAGGTCTTTGCCCATCCTTGAGTCAGCCTATCATGCGTGTCATTTGGTAGCTACTATTTCATGTATGAGATATTAATATTTATCTCTATAATTACATAAAGTTGCATTTTGGAATTTAATAGGAAACTACACCATTTATATATATGGGCATAAAGAAGATGTGCTGCTGGACATACTCATTACCTGATGCTTTCTAACAATTTTGTTCGCTCTCATTCTCTGCATACTTTCTACGTTTTCATCTTGTGTGTGTAACTATGTAGATCGCTGTTGGGACGGATCCCTGCACTGATCAGCTGCTTATGTTTTATCAGTTTGTTTATACAAACGTTTACTTCCCAGGCTTCTGATAGTGAAAATCGAAGACCTCTGGTTCCCACTTGAAAAGAAGTCTGTCTAGAGTTTATTTTTTTAGTTATCATCAAGCAGTTTGTAATTTTCTGCCAACTGATATCTTGCTCTGTGTTGTGTGTGTTTGCTTCAGAGTACATGGCCGGAGGCAATCTGTATGATTTCCTTCACAAGCAAAACAATAGCTTGGACCTTTCCTTGATTCTTAGGATTGCTATTGACATCTCGAAAGGGATGGATTATTTGCACCAGAATAACATCATCCATAGAGACTTGAAGTCTGCCAATTTATTAGTTGGCGATGGTCAAGTACGCATATTGTCTTTTTAGGGTCAAGTATGCATGTTATTATAAATTCATGCACTTTTCAATTCAATATTATTAAAATGATAATTTGTTCTTTTGAAACAGGTTGTGAAGATTGCAGATTTTGCTGTCGCTCGTGAACTATCACAAGAGGGAGATATGACTGCTGAAACTGGCACCTACAGATGGATGGCACCTGAGGTGTGTTATCTGTTTGTTCATTTGTCCTTGAGCATCCTTTCCCCTTTCTAGAAAATATCCAATATCCTATATTTGCTCGACCACTCCTTTGTTGTTGTAACAAATAGCGTTGTTTTTCCTTCGTTATTTATTACTCATCCACATCTTCCCAGCAAGTTCATGAGGAAATAGATATTTGTGTACTATCTTCTTGAACTTCTGTCAGAGCTCAAAAGACAGGTTCTATGTAACTGAGGTATTGTGCTTACGTGATGTGCTTATTAAAAGTTGTTGTCCTGCCAGGTGATAAACCATAAGCCTTATGATCACAAGGCAGATGTCTTCAGCTTTGCTATTGTTCTATGGGAGTTGGTCACTTCAAAGGTAACTTGGTGTTCTCCCTAGCTTTTTAGTCTTATTGAGTTCATCAAACATCAGTACTTTGGTTAAAGGTAATAACCTTGCTTGGTCCTGCTATACAGATCCCATATGAAAACCTGACACCATTGCAAGCGGCACTGTCAGTAAGGCAGGTACGACATTTGATGCCAACGAAGTTAAATTACAGTTTTGGTATTGTGCATCAGCTGTCGATAGTGGACATGCAAGTACGAGAGATGAGCATTGCTCCTTGTTTTTCAGGGACTTCGCTTGGTGATTCCCTCGAGCGTGCATCCGAGATTGTCTAAATTGATTCAATGGTGTTGGGGTGAAAACCCCCATACGCGACCCGTTTTCTCTGAGATCACCGCAGAACTGGAAGATATCTTGCTGACTTTTCAGGTTAGGTTGCTGCTGGATCTGTAGGCCTTAAGGCTCGTGAGAAGATGGAATTTGAAAACTAAATGAAGTGAAGTTATTCTGGTTAATATTTGACGGGTTCCTCAGACTAATGAAAAGTAGTATGTTCCTGCAGGTCGCCTCCCGCTCCAAAGGAAGCCATCGACATATCAAACAAAAGATACAGATGAAATCACAGCGATAGAAAGAAGGCGCCAACCCAAGTAGCTGGGCCCTTTTTTCTCAT